TGTCACTGCCTGGTGAGTGTGTATGGATTCATGTACATCTGTGTGCCTGAGTGTTGGTGTGTGCAATGAGTGCATGGGTGTGCACATGTCCACATACACATTTGTGTCTATGTCGGCATACAGTGCCTGTGTGCTGCCTGTACAGGCATGGCTAAGTGCTCAGACATGTGTGAGAAGCAGCTACAGGGTCTGCAAGGAGCACACTGCCTGTGTGAGCAGCCGCAAGGGGCCACGGTCTCCCTGGGCACTGGGAGGCCAAGTGCCAGGGCAGAGATGGGCAAGGTGGAGGGGCTGCAGGCAATGGCCAGGGAGGGCACAGCACAGCCATGGCCAACAGGCCAGTGCATTGTACACTCAAAACCAGCATCTTTTGAAGGGATCTTTTTATTTCTAATTTTAGGAAACGCAACACCACACCCCCGACACGGTTAGTTTGCACGCACACAGGCAGAGCGACTGGACCGAGGCGCTGGACTGGCTGGGGCAGCATGGTCAGTAGCAGGTGTGGGCTGTGTCAGACATGATCAGGGACATGTTGTACAAGGTGGGTTTACCAGTGGACTTGTGTGACAGACTCTCTTGGCCCACTACACAGGTGAAGGTCTCCCCAGGGCTCCAGTCCTCCTTGGTCACTGTCAGCAGGCTGTGGGCATAATAGAGGCCTGGGGCATAGTGCTCAGGCATCGGGGCATTGGTCACGTACTTGTTCAACAATAAAGGTTGCCCGCTCTTCATCCAGCGCACAAAGATGTCCACAGGAGCGAAGCCCTCACCAGGCAGATGATGGTGGCCTGCTCATGCAGGACCAGCTGCTCCCGGGCTGGTGGCAGCACATACACGGCAGGGGGCTTCTTGTTCCCAGCTGTGGGTAGAGTTGGTGAGCACAGGGCAGGTGCAGGACAGGTGGGCTCCTGGGTGCAGGTTAGGGGCTGAACCTACCTTTGGGCTTGGAGATGGTCTCCTTCACTGGGAAGGGCAGGTCCTGGTGGATCACAGTGCATGTGAAAGTCTCCCCAGAGTCTCACTCTTCCACACAGATGCTGGCCTCACCTATGGCATTGAGAGTGCCACTGGCTTGGCTCTCAGTGTCTGTGCATTTGGTTGGCAGTTCCTTGCCATCCTGGTGAGATCAGGAGATGTTTAGTCCTCTGGGGTGGGCCGTGTCAGTGACCAGGAAGATCAGCTTGACTGACTTGGTGTGGAAGATGTCATTAAAGGAGGGAGGAATGGGGAAGAGTTGGATGTCTGTGGGTGGAGTTGCTATGGAGAGAACATTCCTGTGAATGGTGGTTGGATATGAAGTCAGGGAAATGTGTAGACCCAGCTGGGTGCTGCTTAGTGTCCTGTGTCCCCCCTGCTCCCTGCCCTGCTTCTGATAGTTCCAGGAAGCCAAGGCTCAGGAGCAGGTTGCTGGGTCTGGGTGTCATCTGCCACCCCTGAATGGACAGCTCTATAAGGGGTCTGGGCAAGGGAAAGGCACTCACTGGGTACATGCATGGAGAAGGGCACATCCTTTTCAAGGGTTCATGCTCTGTGATCCACAAGACAGGTGAACACTGTCTGGTCCCCCCACTCATGCTCAGTGATGGTCAGTGTGCTAGTAACCTTGAAGGTCAGGAGCTGAGAGCCTTTGAAGCCGGATGCCAGGCTTCCCATCCCACAGGCAGGACACTATATTCTGCTTGGGGCTAAAGTCTATGGCCTGGAAGATGAATCTGCATTTGCAAGAATTAAGGAATGCATTTTGGAGTGGGACATACAGTCACGTTGGGGGCCTGCTCCAGGGTCACTGGGGTAAGGAGACATGGTGTGAGCTCAGGCCAACCAGTGTCAGAAAAGGCAGCCTGAGGTTTGGACAGACAGGAAAGTTGTACAGGGAGGGGATTGCACACCTGTGTACCAGTGACAGTAGTGTTCTTGGTGGTGGTGGTAGTGTCTCTAGTGACCTCAGTGGAGCCCCTGTCTTCTCCAGGAGATGTGATGGACCATGGGGAGTTCTGGGAAGTCCAGGAATCTGGAACCAGAGGAGCAGTGGACAGGTGAGGGAGAGAAAGCAGAGTGGACAGGGTGACAGTGGTTAGCCAGGCTGTGGAGGGAGGGTCACTGCATGGAGAGAGCTGAGGGTGATGCTTGGCTGGGTTTGTGCTGAGAAAGTGGCCAGCTGCATACTAGGAAGGTCTAGGGGGCCAGCAGGGTGCTGATGAACTCCAAGGAGACAGAGGGCAGTAAAGGATGGGGGTGTTGCCCTGGGGAAGGGCCAAGGCTGGCACTGTTCACAGACCACCCTAGGGAAGGTATGGGATGTCCTGTAGGACTTCATGGGGTCCCAGATCACGTAACTGGCCACAGGTATGTTCTCTCTCACCTCTGCTTGTCCAGAGAGGTACTGCATTTGTGAGGGCCAGGGCTCTACTTGGCGTCTGGAAAGGGGAGCTGCTGCTCCCAGTGTAGGCTTCACTATTCCGGGCAGCAGTAAAGGTCCACTGGTTTCATTTGCACCCCAGAGTACCAGGTGACCTGTTCATTTGCACTGTTCCCAATCACCAAGCGGGTCAGATCCAGGAAGCCAGTTTCCTCTGGGGACTTGCACCCCGAGGTGATGAAATTGTGCAGATCCTGTTGGGTGGCTGCAAGACACACAGTGAGTGCTGAGGACACCAGGTTGGGGACAGGGACAGGGAATGGGAGGAGGGCAACAGGGTGGGGGACAGGTGGGGGCCTTCCCAGGCCCAGCACACAGCGACAGAGTTCCAGGCCATGGCTCTGTGGGTGCTGCGGGGAAGGTCTTCCTTCCAGAGGTTGTGACACTCCTGATGTCCTGAGCCTCCTACCTCCTGCACCCCTCTCCTCTCTGACCCACTGCCTGGCACTCCAGACCTGGTCTCAATTTTGGCCTCCAGCAGCTGTGCTCATGGCTCTTGGAGCACAGGATTCTGTGTGTACAGTGGATACAAGGCTGTCCTGGGTGTGGTCCCCAGAAGTTGGTGCAGTTCTACCCACTCCTCAGTCCTGAGACACTGCTGGCCATGGGCTGTCCTTTCTGGACATAGTGCTCATCCCTTGGGGTGGCTCCTACAGAGCCTGGGATCCAGAGAAAGGAAGTGGCTGTGGACTGCAGGTCCCTGCTGGTCCCTGATGGCTTTGATTCATCTGCCTCTCCCTGCCTCACCTATGTCACACCTAAGGACTGGCACAGCTCACTAGGCTGGACTCTTGCATCCAGCCTGATCCAGGTGAGCAGCTGTGCTGTGACCCCATGGCAGAGCCCACCTTTTTCTTTTCCATACCTTGGGAATGCTGTCCTCCCGGCATCTCTTGCTTAGGTTCTGCAGTAGGGCCTTGGTGCCCACATTCTTAGCTGCCCTTTGTCAAGAGGGGCCTTTATTCCCTCCAGAGCTACCTCTCAGCCTCACTGAGCCATCACAACCTGGATTCTGGGTTGTGAGTTGCCCAACTGCACTCCCAGGTGCTGCTGGAGGATGTGGTAAGGCGGCTGCTGCTGTGGGACAGATCACGGCTTCTAAGATTCAGGCTTGCAATCAAATTCCCAGGACCTCAGAGCGCATCCCTGTTGGGTACAAAATGTCCAACATAAACCACTGGGATGAGGTCACACCGAACTAAGGTAGGCATTTGACCAAACAGCACTGGTATACTTATGGAAAGGGTAATAGGGACACAGACATGGTCACAGGGACAATACTAGGATAGTGAGGCAGTGAGCAGTGCTGCTCCCCAGATCCAGCACATCAAGACCTCCAGCAGAGCAAAACTGGCTCCTGGAGCAGATTCTCCCTGTGGCAGGGGCTACCCAGCCTTCCAGACCCTGTCAGATTCCTGGCCTGCAGCTAGGGAGAGCAGACCTCTTGCAGACATACCTCCTGTCTCTGCTTGGTGCCTGCAGCCTGACCTCGTAAGCACAGGTCACCTCCCACCCTCCCATGCCTGCTCAGTCCCCTGCTGTGCTGAGCTATTTGATCCTTGGTCATCCAAGGGCCTGGTATGATGTGATGAGCTCCATTTAACTCAGACATAGCAGCCCCTCAAGGCTTCAGCTTGAGGGAGGAAGGTTCCCTGGAACCCACTGCGCATGGCCAGTTCTTCCCACATGCATTCCCTTAGGGTCAGGCTGATCCTGGTCTTGTCCTCCTGGGTGCCCATTTAGTAGAGGCACTGACATGCACTCAGAGGCTCTGAACACCTCCATGTCAACTGCCCAGGCTGTGCTCCCACTGTAATTCAAGCCTGGCTTTGCTTGTCTCTGAGTCCCTAGCTCAAAGAACTGGCCCTTACTATGGTGCTATCACACACACTTCCTGCACACCCTGGCCTGGCCACTTGCACCCTCCTGCCCTTCTCAAGACTTCTTCCTGGGAGGCCCTGCTGAACTCAGTCTGGGTGCCCACTGCCTCCTCTCACCCTTCACTCCTGCCCTCTCCCCATCCCCTGCATGCTGCCAGTGCCTCAGACCACAGGGAAGCCCTCTGCCCTTTGGTTTTGCATTGGGTCCCAGGCTTTGGAATGCACCTCAAATTCTATGGAGGCAAAGTCCCCCTGTCCCCTTGACCTTGAGCTCCCCCACCTTTCCTTCCCATCTGCATCTTCCCCTGCCCAGCCTTCACTCTCCTGTATGGCAGGCTGACCTCAGAGGGCTGGTAGAAAGAGGGCATGGAGACATGGACAGCAGGGCCAGGAGGGGGCAAAGGCTCAGGTGAGACCCTGAGCTCACCAAGGAAATGGCTAGGGTAGAGAGGGCCCCAGGGACCCCTGGAAAATGTAGTGCAGAACAGTAGGTGACAGAGGCCTCCCTCTTCTCCCCTGGGCCCTAGGGCACACTTCACTAACCCCCATCTCCACACCCATACCAGGCGCCCTCTTGCTCTGACACAGAAAGCCCCAGAAAAAGGGAACTTCAGGCAGTGCCACCCATTTTCAATCCTGTTCTTAGTCTCTGCAGGACTGGGGGCGGGGAGGCTTCCAAACCTCTGGGGACAGGAGCTGTGACTCCTAGGAGAACAAAACAGAGCTGAGCTGTGATAGCACAGGGCCGGAGCAGGAGACTGGAGAGCTACCATGGCTACCACAAGGTAAGTGGGCTGGGCAGGAGCAGAGGTGTGGGGAAGAGGGACACTTCACCCTGCATAGCCAAGGCCACAGGAAGGTAGACTGCACAGAGTCCTCCCTAAGAGGGCCAGGCTCTACCCAGGACAGCTCCCTAGAGTCACTGAGCCTATCTGGGATAGGCTGGGGCCCAAGGCAGTGATATAGCCTGGCCACTTGAGCAAGATACACCAGGGGCTGACAAGAGTACCCTGGAGGATGTAACAAGAGGCACAGAAGGACAGCAGAGGACAGATGAGGACTGTCATGGAAATGGCACAAGCAGATGACGGGGCAGAATAGACAAAGCCAGAGAAGAAGGGGTAAAAAGAACTGTCAGGAATAGGTTAGGAGTTCACACAGTAGAAGAGAACCCTCAGCTGGGAAGGAGCCAGTTGGACCTCAGGGTTTAAGGGAGAACACAATGGCAGAAAAAGATGAGACCCAGCGTGGAGGTACAACAGGGCTCAGAGAGGTAGGGAGGCCTGTGGCAACTCAGGAGTTCAGGGAACCAAGGAAGAGCAGCTACAGTTGAACTGGGCCAAGTGGGTACAGGAGGACCCAGGACACTTCCAGGAGCTCACAAGACCAGGTCAAAGCATATGCCCGTAAGCTGTGGTAGTGAGGTGCCAGAAGGACCAGGGCAACTCCAGAAACTCAGAGGTCCAGGGAAGAACAGTTCCAGGTAGGCAGGATCAGGTGGATGCTGGAGGGACCAGGGCATCCTCAGGAGCTCAGATGACCAGGGAAGAACAGCCGCAGGTAAGCTAGGATAGGTGGGTGCTGGAGGGACCAGGGCATCCCCAGGAGCATAGGGAACCAAAGCAGAGCAGCTACAGGTGTGCTGGGGTATATGGGTGCTAGAAGAATCAGGGCAGCTCCAGGAGTTCCAGGAACTGGGACAGAACAACTGCAATTGACCAGGGGGAGGTTGGCGCTAGAGGAGACAAGGAGGCTCCAGAAATTCAGGAGCCAAGGCAGAGCTGCTACAAGTGAGAAGGGGCATGTGGGTGCTGTCAGGGGTCATGGAAGCCCCAGTAGCTCAGGTAACCAGAGCAGAGAAGCTAGAGGTAAGCAGAGGCAGGTGGACATTGGAGGATTCATGACACTCAGGGGAGTTTATGGGACCAGGGAAGAGCATGTGCCTGTGATTTGGGGCAGATACTTGCCAGAATGACCGGGGCAGCTTCAAGAGCTCAGGGAACCAGGGCAGAACATCTACATGTGAGCTGTTGTTTGTCAGTGCCAGAGGGGCCAAAGACACCCCAAGAGGAGCTCGGGGGATCAGGGTAGAACAGCAATAGATGACCTTGGGCAGGAGAATCCTGGAAAGCCAAGGGCAGCCCCCAAAGCTCAGAGGGTAGACTGGTGCTGAAGGAGCCAGGGCAGCCCCCAGGAGACTCAGAGGACCAGGGCAAAGCATCTACAGGTGAGCTAGGCAGGTGGGTGCTAGAGGAATCAGGACAGCTCCAGGAGCTTAGGGGAGCAGAGCAGAGCAGAGCAGCTGCAGGTGATCAGGGGCAGGTGCATGCTGAAAGGACCAGGGCAACACCAGGAGCTCAGCTGACCAAGGTAGAGCAGCTACAGCTGAGCCGGGGCTGGTGGGTACTGGAAGGTCCATGGGAGGCCCAAGGAGCTCAGTGGAGTGCAGGAGGGCAGCTGCAAGTGAAAAGGGGTAGATGGGTGCTCCAGAGGCCAGGGAAGTCTCATAAGCTCAGGGGACCAGGGCCAAGAACCTGCAGGTGAACAAGGGCATTTGGGTGCTGGAAGGGCCGGAGCAGTCCCAGGAGCTCAGCGACCAGGGTTGAAGGAGCCAGGGCAGCACCAAGAGCTCCGGGAACCAGAAAAAACAAGCTACAGGTGAGCAGGGACAGGTGGGTGCTGGAGGGGCCAGGGCAGCACGAGGTGACAGGGGAGGAAGGCAGAGGAGCTACAGATGAGCTGGGACAGGTGGGTACTGGAGGGTCCGTGGTATACCTCAGGAAAGTAGGGGAGTGGCTGCAGATGAGCAGGGATGGCAGTTGGATGCTTCAGGGCTTGAGCCAGTCCTAGAAGCTCAGGCGGCCAGGGCCAAGGAGCTACAGGGGAGCAGGGGCATTTGGGTGCTGGAAGATCCAGAGCATCCCCCAGAAGTTCAGGGGACCAGGGCAGAACAGCTACAGGTAAGCAGGGACAGGTGGATGCTGGAGGAGTCTGGATACTCCCAGGAGCTCATAGGACCAAGGCAAAGCATATACCCAAGACTTAGGGCAGGTAGGTGCCAGAATGGCAATGACAGCTTCAGCATCTCAGGGAACCAGGGCAGAATATCTACATGTGAGTTGTGGCAGGTTGCTTCTAGAGGGGCCAAAGACACCCCAGGAGAAACCCAGGAGAGCAAGGTAGAGCAACAATAGGTTAGCTTGGGCCGAATAATTCTGGAGGAATAGGCCAGCTCCAGAAGCTCAGGGGACTTAGGCAGAGCAGCTACAGGTGATCTGGGGTAGACAGGCGCTGAAGGAGCCAGGGCAGCCGCCAGGAGGCTCAGGGGACCAGGGAAAAGCACCTACAGGTGAGCTAGGGCAGGTGGGTGCTAGAGGAATCAGGCAGCTCCAAGAGCTCAGGGGGATAGGGCAGAGCATCTACATGTGAGCTATGGTAGGTGGGCTCTAGAGGGGCCAGAACACCTCTGGATGAGCCCAGGGGAATGGGGTAGAGCACTAAGAGGTAGGTGTGGGCAGAAGAATGCTGGAGGGACCAGGCCAGCCCCAGGAGCTCAGGGGACTCGGGCAGAGCAGCTACAGGTGATCTGGGGTAGACTGGTGCTGAAGGAGCCAGGGCAGCCCCCAGGAGGCTCAGGGGACCAGGGCAAAGCACCTACAGGTGAGCTAGGCAGGTGGGTGCTAGAGGAATCAGGACAGCTCCAGGAGCTTAGGGGAGC